AACATCGCTGTTATCAAGTAGGCTAACAGAAATCTCCCAAATTTACCCCTCATTTGCATGCAATTTGCTTATGATGATATTTGCAGATACTGGGGGAAGCGGGATGCTGTCCTTAACCTTCCCACAAATTCCTCGCTCTCTGTGACCCTATCACAGAGTTCTTTACGTGCATACACCACTGCATCGTGTTCCCCTACCTACCCCACCGATGCTGGCGATTCTTTGACCCTCAACTCGCAACCGCAGAATATAAAAGATTCAAAGAGAACGCTTGCTTGCCTGTCAGATTTACGAAGTCTCCGTCGAGAACTGGAGAATGCAAACCCATCTCTACCCAAACTCTCAGGTTTCCCTCTACGGATTGTATCGGAGAATAACTTCCCGACCGCGGCTGGTCTTGCCAGCTCCGCGGCTGGTTTTGCTGCGTTGGTTCGCGCGGTTGCCAACCTTTACGAGTTGCCCCAATCACCTAGCGATCTCAGCCGCATTGCACGCCAGGGCTCTGGTTCCGCATGTCGCTCTATGATGGGCGGTTATGTTGCATGGCGTACGGGGGTCTTGGAAGATGGTAGTGACAGCTTCGCAGAAGAGGTGGCTCCAGCAAGCCATTGGCCTGAGATGCGTGCCCTTATCCTTGTCGTTTCTGATGCGAAGAAAGATGTTCCCAGCACGCAAGGAATGCAGGCAACAGTCGCGACCTCCACTCTCTTCCGAACCCGTGCTGAAACAGTGGTGCCCGCACGGATGGCTGCGATCGAGTCCGCGATTAAAAACAGGGATTTTGCTTCCTTCGCCGAGATCACCATGAAAGACAGCAACAACTTCCATGCCACCAATCTTGACACCTGGCCACCTACGTTCTACCTCAATGATGTGTCTCGTGCTGCCATCAGGCTGGTCCATGATATCAATCGCGCAGCTGGCGAGACTATTTGCGCTTACACGTTCGATGCCGGCCCAAATGCCGTGATATATTACTTAGATAAAGACTCGGAGCATGTCATTGGGACATTCAAGTCAATTCTGAAGGCTGAGACTGAGGGTTGGGATGGTGTGTATGGTGGCGTAGTTAAGCACATAAAATGCGGAATTCCGCTGGAGAATTTAGACTCGAGGGCTGTCGCTGAGCTGAAGGGTGGTGTAAATACCGTTATTCTAACTGGCGTCGGCGGAGGGCCACAAAAAGTGGGCCAACACCTTGTCAGCGAAACTGGTGAAATTTTGAAAGGAAGCCCCAATTAAGGAAATACAGAAAAGAAACTAGGAGTCATCCGAATAAGAAAATATATCTCGACCATGATACCCCTTGCATCCGGGAGAATAAATAGCGAGCATTGAAAGTTTCAGGAAATTCAAATCAAGCATCAATATATCAAATTCCATTGAACAGCTTCTAAATCTTTTAAAGCTTTGAAAACAAACTTATAACTATTGATGTTCGAAAATTTTCCTTCTGTCGTTGAACGGGTACGAATCACTGCAACGTGGGAATCAAAGTAAACCAATCAAATCAAACTACAAAAAGACCCATCTCAAGTCATCCACCCAGAATAGCTAATTTTCTAAACTCCTTGATGACAGGAGGCTCCCTTCCCTTCCCCCTAAGGCTCTGTTGCAAGCTATCCCAAAACACCCCTTCACCACCAGATGGTCGCTCCCTTCCTAGACCACCATCGTCACCGATACTTCCTTCAACGTCGGTGCCACTAACGCCAACGCCCTTCTCCTTGGTCACTTCAAACACATCGTCCAAGCAATCCCTACACATTCCCAAAACTTCATCCAGATGATGTTGCACCAACGCCGCCCGCTCCCTCATCCCCCTCCTTAGCAATGCTTGAATGAGCGTTTCCCCCTCATCAATTGCACCATTGACCCTCTCAATAAGCCGTCGTACACTATTTACCAAATACTCCTCTTCATATACAGTCCCTTTCTTCCCACGTGCGCGTTTGCGTTCCTCGCGCCGCCTCGTCTTGCTCGTTTTCCGCGACGAGGATGTGTTTCCTGTATACCGTGTGAACATACTCTGACCTGCCATTGTGCTCGCGTCGGTCGGCGCTAGCGATACATTATCGGGAATATCCGCATCACCTTCAGCCATTCCAGCAGTCGGGTCACCACCATAGAATCCCAAAGGGTCGTTGGCGCGGTGGACTCGCAGTTCCCGGATTCTTGGCACCTGTGTATTGAGCTGGGCCTTGCAGTCGGCGAGCAGATGGATCATACTGCCCATTGCGTTCCCCAGGGCTGAATCCACGATGTCGTTGACGAGTGACTGTTTGCCATGAAGGACGAGGAGACGGCATGCGTCTCCAAATTGGTTGCCACAACAGAGTAGGCGTGCAGCGGTTGGAATGTCTTGGAGATGCTGAGCGTGGATGTGGGCAGCGGATATGTAGTCCTTTGTTTCGTCTGTTAGAGTTGTGGCGAGGGAGTGGGCCAGGGAGTTCATTTGGTCTTTCGAGAGGGGGACGAGGCTAGCACAGTAAATACATTCTCGCCATTGGTGGGCGAGTTTGTAGGATTGGTAGGCAGGCTCGTAAAGGGAGAGGGATTCATAGACTTTGGGTCTGTTAGTTCATAAAATTTATTCCAGGGGTAGTACTTCTTTAGGACAAATGGAGTCGCATACTGATGGCAGCTTCTTTGTAATTGGACTGATCGTATAGATAGTCAGCGTATAAGTGTGACATATCGCGAAGAAGCTCAGGCTGGTATTTGTATAGTTCCAAGGCATCATTGTATAATGTATGTTTGATGGCGTAGAGCTTGAGCTCTTCATAGGCTTGAAGAGTATGTAAGCTTCTGAGCGCTTTTCGCACTCGTCCTAGATAGTTGTCGATCTCATATTGACGGCGAAGCGTTGGCATAGCCTGAAGCTTTTGAAGGAATGGAAGATACTCTCGAGGATCCTGCGAAGAATTAGCACATCCATTCTTTCCTCAAGTGGATACATCCATGCATGACTTTACTTTCTGGGCTTGCTGGGCAACCATCAACGTAAGTTCTAGGTCATATAACCCTAGAGCATGGTCATAGAGTCTATATGCATCGGTAAGGAAACACATATGCTCAACAGCTTCCTCTGCTTGCCCAGTGCTTTTTTCTGCAATATTATTAGTTGTTATCATGTTTCTTTTGGGACAACCAGGGACAGCCTACCCCGTAGCTTCGCGACCAGTTGAAGCCCAGAATCTAGGTCAGGGGGCGATTTGCACACGTGGGTTGTAACGAGATTTCGGAGGTTGGTGTCGATTCGGCTGGCAAGCACGGATAAGAATGCGTCACAAATTCGATTGACCTTGTTATCCTGGGGCGCTGTTTTGTTCGCATTCCCGGGCGCCTCACTTTTGGGTGCATCAGACACAGCTACATCAGGTACAGCTATTTTAAGGGTATTTTTGTATAACGTTTCAGAAACATCTTCGTTCCTGTAAATGCTCGTCAACATGAACCCCCGAGAGATGTTGGTGACACGTAAGCTGACCTTAATCGAGACAGGAATTCGTCAATATATTCCACCTTCTTCACCTGGTCGATGAACAACGAAATATTGGCCATAAACTGCGACGGAAAATGATCATGTAGAATATTCATATCCACCATATGGCTCCTGCATGCAAGGTATGCCGCGCGATACATTTTGTTGTCGACATACTTGCGAATTCCGGCAAGAACAAGAGCGCGAGGGTAAATAGTCTCAGTATTACCTCGTGGCATTTGCAGTGTAACGGCGAATATTGATGGCATGACGGAAATTATGCGAGCCCCTCGCTCGATACTTCGACATCTCTCATCAGTCTCGGGAGTGTCGCCAGGAATATCAAGATCTAGTCACCGCATATAAGCAAATATCTAGAGTTATGATCAAGGGTAGGACGAACCAATCTACTTTGGTGATATGAACGAATTTCAGTAGGTGTTGGGGTTGTCGTTGAAAATAAGATGAGCCCCTGTAATTATGAAGGAAGTGCAGCTTTTTTGC